CCGGCATGCATCCATGATGTTGTGTGGATGCGCCGATGCTGGAACAGCGTGTTGGTAATTACAAGCCCATGGGCTGCACAAAAATCTAACAGCCTCCTACCGTTGTTAATGACCTGATCTGGCCCATGCCCTCCAATCACTCCAGACCAGGTGCCAGTATCATGACCAACTCGGGCATTGAAGTCACTCAACATGATGACTCTATCCCGAGGGGCCAATTTAGCCAGCACCTGTGACAGGAGGTCATAGAAGGCATCTGACTCATCGGCTTTGAATGCATCCCTCCACGGATGTTCATCTTCGGTGGGGGCATAAGTAACCACGACCACCATTCCTCGCCTCCAGGTGATGGGAAGGCGAGCCCAAGGTAGCCTGGGGCTTACAGCTTCCCACACCTCACCGCCACGCTCCCACGCCCCCTTTATTCTTTTGTTCAAAAGAAGAGCCACACCTTGTTGTTTGGCAGTCTGCTGCCCCGAGTAGAGGACTGTCCACCCCTGATGGTGGCAGGAGCCAGAGCCGGTCCACCGGACCTCCTGAATGCCACATAGATCCAGGCGGTACCGGTCCAGCTCCCGACAGAGGAGTGGCAGCCTCTCCTCCGCAGTGAGCGTTCGAACATTTTATGTGGCCACCCGTAGTGGTTTTTCGTTGTTTCTGGAGGAGCCCCGAGGGTAGATATTCAATCTCCTGGCTCCGCCAATTGGGGTTTGGCCAGGAGACATCATAGACGCCTGGCCCCCCGGGGCCTCCGGCACAAGCTTATTAGTTATATACTTAATTCGCGGTTTAGTGGTAATTAATTGAAGGTGGAGGGGTTAGCAGCCCGTACACACACGTACACACACGTACACACACATGTATACACACACGTACACATACACATATACAGACAAACGCAACAACAACAACCGCCATTCTCCACTAAGTGGCAGTGACGTCACCACGACGCTTGTGCCAGGCCATGTGCACCTTGAGGCCACGTGAAGTGTCGAACGCCCGCTGGCAGGTCACGGGCAGACTCAAGTGCCACGGGTCGACTGACTGAGATGACTGAGATGACTGGCTAATGCACTACCTGTGCCCCCTACTGTGCCAACCTGCTGTACTTTAGCCACCCGGCGCTCCTCTCGTTGTTGTGAGCGTCGATCCTCCGCCCTCCGTTGTTGTTGGAGGGCGACTGCCTCCAACTGCCCAGTAGCGTCCTTCATGAGCCTCCTCCACAGAGGCCGATCTTGACACCGCTGGTACCAGTCATCGGCAAGTCCACTCAGCTCCACGTCCTCCTGTACCACATCACTCCATCTCTTCTCTAGCCCGTGCCGCGCCCATTTAGCCCCCTCGATCCGGCCGAACAAAAGCTGTTTCGGCATGCGGTGGGTGGGCATGCGGGCTACATGACCCAGCCACACACACGTATACACACACGTATACACACACACGTAAACACACACACGTACACAGATGCACACGCACACACACGTACGCACACACACGTACACACGCACACACATGCACACACACGTACACATATGCTCACCTGTGTACACAAACCACATAGACTCCCCACTCTCACAGAGACCCATAGACTCACACAGGGACCCATAGACTCATAGACTCACACAGAGACTCATAGACTCACACAGAGACATATAGACTCACACAGAGACCCATGGACTCACACAGAGAACCCATGGACTCAAACAGAGACCCGTAGACTCACACTCACACACAGACTATGTAGTGTATAGTGTAGTGTATAGTATAGTGTATAGTGTGGTGTGTAAAGTAGTGTATAGTGTAGTATATAGTAGTGTATAGTATAGTATATAGTAGTGTATAGTATAGTAGTGTATAGTAGTGTATAGTGTGTAGTGTAGTATATAGTGTACAATGTATAGTGTAGTGTACCAGTACAGCAATAAACCGGCTTGTTGTGAGTCAACCCACAGCAACATTTGCAATTGGAGTAGCTGTGACGTTTCGCCGGTAATCATAACAACAACAACCTGCATCATCAGGCGGACCGCCATAGTTGTGGAGAAATCCTCCTTCCTCCTGTTTTGTTCTTAAACTAGTTAACGAATTTGGCGCCACTTCTTGCCAGCAAGTCACAAACTCATTACTAATTGGTCCTGTCTGGCGGTGGTGGTAGTGGCGGTGGGGTTTAACGACACAACATTTACATTCTCGCCATCTTTACCGACAAAACATTCTCAGGATATGTGCAATGGCCGATGCGCGAACGGGCGGTCACGAAGCGAACCGAGGCCTCTGATTGGTGCCCCTAATCTGGTGGGGACCACGTGGGGTGGATGACGTAGTAAGGGGGGTGGGAGGGGTTTGAAGAGAGAGGCCTGGAAGGGGGTTGGCTGGAGACCGATAATTTCAAGGGATTGGAGGAAAGATGACAACGCAAAGGGCGGGAATCGAAGGTTGACTGGCAGGAGAGGGGGTTGAGATCCGTTAGAGCAGAAGGGCGGGGGGGGGGGGTAGTGGAAAGTAATTCGGGGAACCTTGGGGAAAGTTGGAGGCTCGAGCGATATGAACCGGGGAAGCACGGCGTGGATGGGGATGCTTGGAGAGGAGACTCGGCCGTGCTTGAAGGCAGTGTTCGTGTCGACACTAAAGGCTCTCATAGTTCATGGTTCCATTTATTTGGTATAGCCCTGTGAGCCATTCGACTCTTGAATCGGGTGCAACCACAACAAATAAAAAACAAAAACACGAACAAGAAAACATCTTACAGTGACTATGTGACTTTGTGCAAACAGAGAATCCAGGAAAAAACATCAAACTATTCCTGAAATAGCACCGTACACCAAAGCTGTGTGCAAAAATCCCAGTGGGATGCAAGTGAAACAACAACAACAGCCACAAGACAACTAAGATTAAGGCGATCAGTCTAACTCCGTACTACAACAAACACAAACATAGTCAAACCAAAAATTTCGAAATCACCAAAATAAAGCCATAAATGCAATGTAACAGTGATCATAGGGACTCAATAATATGAACCTCATGGCTGGACCCCGGGTGGTCCCATAAGCCCCCGGCTCTCGCATGAACTCCGTTGCGACATCGTTTTATGCCTGTTGAAGGCGAAGGACACGGCGATCTATTCCTCCTCTCGACGAGCTCTGCACGATGCGCTAATCGAAGTTTCAAAGTTTTGTTTGCGACTACGGCAATTTTTGCAATGACGGGCGCTTGGTGAAGAACGAGAGGATTGAATTCTGGTGGGGTCGCGGCGTTCGTGTTGCGCGGTGCGGGACGGAGTCGCCAAACATAAATTCATTAAACTAGAATGAGAATAAAATAATAAATTAATCAAATAAAATAACACAATAAAATTCTCACGACGTTTCGGCCACAACACAAGTAGCCTTCTTCAGGTGAAAGGAACAGACCTGTCGGGACGACAGAGCTTCAATGAACGTTGTTAAGATTCGTAACGTCTTTTAAGCTGGTTTAGAGAGGTGAGGCACCTTGCCAAAGGGGTTTACATATTAAACAGGAGAATTTAGCATTGAAATAGCTGAGTGATTAGCTATTTCTATGACCAGTCATAGAAATAGCCATAGAAATAGCATAGCTATTTCTATGGCTATTTCTCTTCTAGCATAGCTATTTCTATGACCAGTCACAAGCTAATCACTCAGCTATTTCAATGCTAAATTCTCCTGTTTAATATGTAAATCCCTTTGTCAAGGTGCCTCACCTCTCTAAACCAGCTTAAAAGACGCTACGAATCTTAACAACGTTCATTGAAGCTCTGTCGTCCCGACAGGTCTGTTCCTTTCACCCAGGGGTCACGAAACTACGGCCCGCGAGCCGAATCCGGCCCGCGACGTCAGTCCATCAGGCCCGCCGGCGGTGCTTGAATTTGGTTGATAAAACGTATGGAACACGAGACGTTGTGATACAATTTAAATATTATGTTTAGAATACCAGGAGATCTTCACGCGTGCAGAGACCTCCTGACTGCTATGTTCTTTAAATGTACTATTTTAAATTGTAAACTATTGTATCTAGATGTTCTTGTTTATTGTGACGTTTGCTAATTTCGCGCCATCCCAAGTACTTCCCCGGCTCGTGGTAGCTCCGCCTACGCTCTGACGATACCGTGGTTTCCGTGGCAATGTCATGGCAACACGTTACCATGGTTTCCATGGCAACACACACAAACACGCATCTTTCTCGCCCCAAGATTTTCCAGCTGTCAACACAGGTCCGACGCTCCAGAAATATTTATTTATTATGCGCCCCACGCTCGTCATTCTTTCAGTTATCCGGCCCACTGTCAAAAAAGTTTGGTGACCCCTGCTTTCACCTGAAGAAGGCCACTTGTGTTGTGGCCGAAACGTCGTGAGAATTTTATTGTGTTATTTTATTAGTTTATTATTTTATTCTCATTCTACGTGACTTTACCGAAAGAACCAAAGAAAATGAATCCTTGCAGTCACGAAAGCTTTACATCGAAATTCATGAAACTAGATCTGAAGCTTTCGTGACTGCAGGAATGACTCTGTTTGTCTTGGTGTGTGTCTCGCTCGGTGTGTCTTTGTGTGTGTCTCTCTCTCTCTGCATGTGTGTCTGCCTATGCTGTTCCCGTGTCTTTATTTTATCATTTATTCTTACCTGATGATGCTTGCTTGTGTTGCAACCGAAACGTCGTATTCTGTTACTATTTGATTTTATCTTCTACGTGACTTTACCGAAGGAACCAAAGAATACATTCATTCATTACGATTTTGACTTCCGTTTATTCGGAACCCCGGGTTCCCGACATAAGGTTCACTATTGAAGAAACGGGTGTCGATCTTCATTACATGCGGGTAATATTTGTCGCAAAAGACTACTCCTTCTCTTCCTGCTGCTGCTGCTGAATGTTAAACTCATCAAACAAAGTTGTTGTTCGGTGTTGCCTTTTTTGTCGGTTTCGCCTGAAAGTGTGTAACACATTTTTTTTTGTTGTTGTTTGAATTTCAAATTTGCAGGGAAGATTGAACGGGTCATCAACAGAGTGTCATGGGCTCGAAAATAAAGACGGCCGTCTTCGTGTTTATTTTGTTACTGGTCATGATTTTCCTTTCCTCGGGATACTTCAAGGTACGCTGTCGGAAGCATAGTGTACGCACCTATGTTGAACTTCTATCGCACCACTGTAAGGTAGCCAACCGTGGCGAATCGGAGGTGCAGGGGAAGGACAACAAACTGCACGCAAAAAGCACTTCTGTTGAAATGGGTTTTCAATTTACTTTCGTGGTGCAGTGAATAGCAGTGCTGTATAGTAGTTTAGTGTGTAGTGCCGTGTATAGTAGTGTATTGTATAGTATAGTAGTGTATAGTAGTGTAGTGTATAGTTGTGTAGTGTATAGTGGTGTAGTGTATAGTAGTGTACTGTATAGTAGTGTATAATAGTGTAGTGTATAGTAGTGTAGTGTGTAGTGCCGTGTATAGTAGTGTAGTGTATAGTGTAGTGTATAGTAGTGTAGTGTGTAGTGCCGTGTATAGTAGTGTAGTGTATAGTAGTGTAGTGTTTAGTAGTGTACTGCATAGTAGTGTAGTGTATAATAGTGTAGTGTATAGTAGTGTAGTGTGTAGTGCCGTGTATAGTAGTATAGTGTAGTGTATAGTAGTGTAGTGTGTAGTGCCGTGTTTAGTAGTGTAGTGTATAGTAGTGTACTGTATAGTAGTGTAGTGTATAGTGTAGTGTATAGTAGTGCTGCATAGTAGTAGTGTACTATAGTAGTGTAGTGTATAGTGTAGTGTATAGTAGTGCTGTATAGTAGTATAGTTTGTAGTGCAGTTTGTATTAGTGAAGTGTATAGTAGTGTAGTGTATAGTAAAGTCACGTAGAAGGGAAACAATAAAAAAATAAAAAAATATTTTTAAAATAATAAAAACATTTATATGATTTTATTACTTCCCTTCTACGTGACTTTACCGAAAGAATCAAGAATATGAATCCCTGCAGTCACGAAATCTTTAAATCAAAATTTAGTGTATAGTAGTTCTGTATAGTAGCGTAGTGTGTAGTGCAGTGCATTATATGTAGTGTGTAGCATACTGTGTGTAGTGTAGATTGTAGTCTGTAGTAGTGTCGTGCATAGTGTGTATATACGTATGTTGAACTTCTTTCGCACCATACGTAGCCAACCATGGTAATCAGAGGTGCAGGGAAAGCAAAGCAAACTAAACAGAAAAAGCAGTTCTCTAGAAATAAGTTCGTCAATCTAGTTTTAGTGGTGTAGTGTATGGTCGTGGTGTATAGGAGTGTAGTGTACAGTAGTGTAGTGTATAGTAGTGTATAGTGTAGTAAAGAGTGTAGTGTATGGTGTAGTGTAGTGTATAGTAGTGTCATATATACTGTAGTGTATAGTAGTGTAATGTATAGTGGTGTATAGTGTAGTGTACAGTAATGTAGTGTATAGTAGTGTATTGTATAGTCGTGGTGTATGAGAGTGTAGTGTATAGTGTAGTGTCCGTTTATTTGTTTCTCAATGCTCTTTGTCCAAGTGAGGGTCACAGCAGCAGCACGCTATACACAACACTACTATACACAACACTACTCTACATTACTATATACTATACTACCATACACTACACTACTATACACTACACTACTATAGACTACTATACACACACTATGATACACTACACTACTGTAGAATATACTATACACTACACTACGATAGACTACACTACTCTACACTACATTACCATACACTACACTACTATACACCACACTACTATACACTACCATACACTACACTACTATACACTACACTATACACTCCACTTCTATGCACTACTATAAACTACTATACACTACACTACTATAAACTACACTACTATATATTACACTATACACTACACTATGCACTACTATAAACTACACTATAGACGACACTACTATACACTACCATACACTACACTACTATACACTACACTATACACTCCACTTCTATATACTACTATAAACTACTATACACTACACTACTTTAAACTACACTACTATATGGTACACTATACACTACAATATAGACTACTATAAACTACACTATAGACTACACTACTATACACTACACTACTATACACTACTACACTATGCTACTATACACAGACTCTGGCGCTTCCTGGGGAATTCCCAGGCGTTCCCAGGCCAGCTGAGCGACATCGTCCCGCCAGCAGCGTTGTCCTTGGCCGGCCCCAGGGTCTTCGTCCGGTGGGACGTTCCTGCCCGGTAGAGTTCCAGGGGGAGTCTACCGGGTGGTGCGGCATCCTTACCGGGTGCCCGAACCACCTCAACTGGCTCCTCTCGATCTGCAGGAGCGGCGGCTCGACTCTGATGCTCTCCCAGATTACCGAGCTCCTCTCCCGATCACGGAGAGTGGTGAGGCCCGGCAACCCTGCGGAGAAGCCTCTTTTCGGCCCCTTGTACCCGCGATTTCATCCTTTCGGTCATTACTCAAACCTCACGGCCATAGTTGAGGGTGGGAACGTAGATCGACGGGTAACCCGAGATCTTCGTTCGAGAACTCAGCTCCCGCTACACTACTGCGGAACGGTTCAGGAACCTGGATCATTGCGGACGCCGCACCAATCCCACGGCTGAGTTCTCACTCCCAATTGCCATCACTCGCAAACGAGACCCTGAGGTGCTTAAACTCCTTCGCGAAGGGCAGCTGTTGCCACCCCCCCTCCCCCCCCTCACCTGGAGAGAACACTCCACCATTTCCTGGGAGTGAACCATGGACCGCAGATATTGAGGTGGCGATCCTCATCCCTCATTCCAGCCGCTTCACACTCGGCATCGAACCGTTCCAAGTGCACGCCGGATATCACAGACCGACGAGGTAAAGAGGACAATGACATCTGCAAAATAGCAGTGATGCCACCTCCTTGCCACCCATATTGTATACTCTCCCTACCTTGGCTGCAGCCTTGACATCCTGTCCATGGAAATGACAAACAGGAGTGGAGACAAGATGTACTCTTGGCGGAGTCCAACACCCACAGTGAACGACTTTGATTTAGCACCAAGAATATGGACACAGCTCTCACTCCGGGAATAGAGGGGACCGGATAGGACAATGAAAGCGGCACGGGTACATCGTGCTCTCACAGCACATCTCACAAGACATTGCGGGGAACATGGCCACATGCGTTTTTCCAAGTCGACAAAACAGAGGTAGACTAGAGAAGCATATTCCCATGACCCCTCAAATATATGTCAGAGGGAAAAAGAGCTGGTCCATGGTTCCACGACCATGACGGAATCTGCATTTCTCCTCCTGAATTTGAGGCTCGACCACCGAGTGGAGCCTTCGACTCCAGCACTCTGGCAAAGGCTTTACCTGAGACGCTGAGGAGTGTGATCCCTCGGTAGTTGGAGCACGCCCTCTGGTCCCCTTTCATACAAAGGGGAACCAAGACCTTAGTTTACCGAATCCAGAGGTACTGCACCCACCTTCCATGCAACATTGAAGAGGCGCGTTAACCACGACACTCCTGCACTGCCCAGAGCTTTCAACAACTCTGGGCTAATCTCGTCCACCCCAGCAGTTTCGCCGCTATGAAGGATCTCGACCGCCACAGCGATTTCAGCAGCCGTGATGGATCCGACCACCCCCCCCCCCCCCAGCTGTTTCCAAGGCTGCCTCCTGAGAGGGGGGCACGCCCACCGGGTTGAGGAGTGCCTCAAATTGTCCCTTCTACCTCTCCACTACCTCCTCAGTTGAGGTCGATGTTACGCCACCACCCTTACTGAGAACAGCCCCGGGCCACGTCCCGTTGATCCCTTCAAGGTGTCGGATGGTTTTGCCAGGACATCTTTGAGGCCCTCTCCGTGGCCTCTCCAAACTCCTCCCATGCTCTGGGGCTTTCTCTTCGGCGACTGCAACCACTGTCGTCCTCTTGGCAAGCCGGTGCCTCTCAATCTGAAAGCCTCCTCCTTCAACTTGGGAGCTTCCCTCACCACCGGAGGCCACGAGCAGGTCCTAGGTTTACCGCCATGACAGGCACCAACTGCCTGCAGGCCACAGATTTTCGCAGCTGCATCCATAATCGAGGTTCTGAACATCGTCCACTCGGACTCAATGTCCATGACCTCCCCTGGAGTGCAGGAGAACTTTTCCCGGAGGCGGAAGTTCAAATATTTCTGCACCGGGTCTTCCGCCAGATGTTCCCAGAAAACCCGGCACTATTCGCTTGGGGCTTCCACGTCCATCTGGTCGGTTGCCCCAAAAGCGTCGGATCCAACTTACCACCAGGTGGTGATCAGTCGACAGCTCTGCCCCTCTCCTCATCCGAGTGTCCAGAACATACGGCCTTAGGTCCGATGATACAACTATGAAGCAAATCAGTGACCTTCGGCTCAAGGTGCTCTGGTACCAAGTACACTCATGAGCATCCTTGTGTTCTGACACGGTGTTTGTTTTTGACATTCCGTGTCTAGCGCAGAATTCCAATAACGTCTCAGATCAGGGGAGCCATTCCTCCCAATCACGCCTCTCCAGAATTTCTCCATCGCTTCCCAGGTGAACATTGAAGTCGCCCAGTAAGACTGTGGAGTCAGTAGGCGGCAGCTCTGTCGAGCACTGCACCCTACCCGTCTCCAAGAAGGCCGTAAAACTCTGAACTGCCGTTTGGTGCATAAACACAGACAACCGAGGCAGAGTTTTCCTTTCTGAGACCTAAAGTCCCATTGAGGCGACACTCTCATCCACTGGGACAAATTCACAACGACAAGCGGTTCTAAAGAAGTTATTTCGTCAAATCTAGCGCAATTATACACGTCATTAATCATTGGCGAGCTAACACACTGGCTGCGGACGCCGTACACAAATCACTTTCTACTATCGACTAACAATGCAAAACAATCGCTCGTTTCTGACAATGTTCCCATTTTTTGTTTTTCTTTTCTCCTCGTCAAGACGTTCAACCAGCAGAAACACGTGGCGCCAAAGCTGCACTATCAGCAAAGCGATCGCCTCCGCCCGGCGACAAAAATGATACCGGGCCCCACGAAGTGGCGGCCGCCGCCGTTGCGGGACGTCACCTTCGCCTCGTCGGCCGCCAAAAGCATCGCCACGGTCGTCAACGGCAGCTCGGGGACGCCGCTCAGCGTGGGCGACGCCCTCCTCGTCGAGGTCCAGATGCGCGACTTCGCCGGGCGCCCCAAGCGCCACGGCGGCGACTTCCTCCTCGCCAGGCTCTCGAACGCGAGGCTCGGCGCGGCCGTCTCGGGCGCCGTCACCGACCGCGGCGACGGCACGTACCTCGTGTCCTTCCGCGTCTCGTGGCCCGGCGAGAGCCGCCCCGAGGTGGCGCTCGTGCACTCGAGCGAGGAGGTCGCGGTGCTGGAGAGGGTGCGCGAGGCCGTGCCCGACAAGGTCAGCTTCTGGGGCACGTTCGTGTCCGGCGGGCGGAAGGAGCGCTCAGCCTGCCACGTGTTCCTGAACGCGACGGTGGGAGGCGGCGAGCTGTGCGACTTTGGGGACGCGGAGCGCGGCGAGGCGTGGTCGTGCGTGAGGCCGGGGGAGCTGCCCTGCTACTCGCTGGAGGGCTACTCGTCGTACAACAAGTACGCGCGCATCTTCACGGCCGAGGAGCGCCAGCTCTTCTCGAGGTGAGAAATCGGATGGGTTGGAAAGATCGGATTTTGACCCCCACCCCCTCGCACCCCCTCAACATCTCAGCGTCGGCTTGCGATGGTTTCGTCGTGGGCCCACCAAATGGGATTCACGATCGCTTTGCTTTTTAACACGTCGGCTTTCGCGACCAATGTCATCCATAATAAAGGTTATTTATTTATTTTTTAACACAAAAAAATGTTAGATCGCGTAAATGTATAAATGTTAAAAGCTGCCACCACCCGACACAGCCAACTGTTTGTTGGGTTCTGATCGTGTACAGTGGAGGGGTCGCGAACCCTTGTCCACTTGACACAGCCAATTGACCCTTTCCCTGTTCCAATGACGTATGTGTATGTACGTGTATATCTAAGTGTTCACGTACATGCACGTACATAAGTGTCCTGCTGATGTAGATACCACTGGTGCTTCATGTCCTGCAGATGTAAATGCCACTGGTTTTCCTCACGTTCTGTAGATGTAGATGCCACTGGCTCTTCATATTCTGAAGATGTAGATGCCACTGGTTCTTTATGTCCTGTAGATGTAGATGCCACTGGTTCTTCATGTCCTGTAGATGTAGATGCCACTGGTTCTTCACATTCTACAGATGTAGATTCCACTGGTTCTTCACGTTCTGCAGATGGAGATGTCACTGGGTCTTTATGTCCTGTAGATGTAGATGCCACTGGTTCTTCACATTCTACAGATGTAGATGCCACTGGTTCTTCACGTTCTGCAGATGGTACGCGTTTGAATGGCGAGGCATCTCAAGTGGAAAGTCAGTGGCCTTGTCGTTGGTGTTAATTTTTTGTTTCTTTCTCTCTTTCATGTCACTTGTGCGGCAAAAGGAAGAAGGGGTAAGGAGAAAACAACTTCTTTGTTTATTTAAGAAGAACAAATTTACCCGTGACAATTTCAGTAACAAAAGAGAAAATGTCACGTGCCCTGCCACATTGGATAGCGCTAAGCAACTGTTTCATTCCGCTTAATAGCAGTAAGAATATTTAATACTTCGTGTGTATTTCACTAAAATCACATATTTCTAGCTCCATTTTGTTAAAAAAGAAAAAAATCTCACTTCTGGCCCGTGTTCAGGAATTCCTTGTTAGGTGTTTGAGTTTGCTACTCGTTGTTGTGTTCACGTTGTTGTCCTTCCCCTGCATCTACGATTAGCCACGGTTGGCTACGTACGGTGGTGCGAAATAAGCTCGATGCGCGTGCAATCAAACAATCGATGGATTGCATAAAGTGGTGCATCGGTGCACCATTACAGCAGAATGGGAACGATACAGGGGGCATAGAGCAGCCACAGGAATGAAGACTGAACCCCGTCACAATCTCAGTGGCTAATACCGACCGAGCAAATTCATTTGCGACTGCGCGCAACGATTAGCGTAAGAGAGGTGAGTAGCAAATTAAAATAAATAAATATTAATGAAAAACAAAAAGAGACAGCTTTATTTAAAATTATACATTTTATGGGAAGGAGAGTCATGTGTCCTGACTTTTGAGCCACCCAGTATATCAACAACTCTATGTGTCCTGACTTTTGGGCTACCCAGTATATCAACAACCCCTACGTGTCTTGAAATTTTTGCCACCCAGTATAACAACAACCCTATGTGTCTTGACTTTTGAGCCACCCAGTATAACAACAACCCTATGTGTCCTGACTTTTGGGCCATCCTATGAATTAACAACCCTATGTGTCTTGACTTTTGGGCCACCCAGTATAACAACAACCCTATGTGTCCTGACTTTTGGGCCATCCTATGAATTAACAACCCTATGTGTCTTGACTTTTGGGCCACCCAGTATAACAACAACCCCTATGTGTCTTGACTTTTGAGCCACCCAGTATAACAACAACCCTATGTGTCCTGACTTTTTGGCCACGCAGTATAACAACAACTCCTATGTGTCCTGACTTTTGAACCACCCAGTATAACAACAACAACCCTATGTGTTTTGACTTTGAGCCACCCAGTATAACAACAACCTTATGTGTCCTGACTTTTGGGCCACCCAGTATAACAACAACTCTATGTGTCCTGACTTTCGGGCCACCCTGCATAACAACAACCCCTACGTGTCCTGACTTTTGAGCCACCCAGTATAACAACAACCCTATGTGTCCTGACTTTTGGGCCACCCAGTATATCAACAACCCCTACGTGTCCTGACTTTTGAGCCACCCAGTATAACAACAACCCTATGTGTCCTGACTTTTGGGCCACCCAGTATAACAACAACCCCTATGTGTCCTGACTTTTGGGCCACCCAGTATAACAACAACCCTATGTGTCCTGACTTTTGGGCCACCCAGTATAACAACAACCCCTATGTGTCCTGACTTTTGGGCCACCCTATGAATTAACAACCCTATGTGTCCTAACTTTTGGGCCACCCTGTTCATGTTTTGAGGCACCCTCTCCCACTAACACAATCTTCGTTGTCATTCACAGTGGGCAGCTTCACGAACCCATACCAATAAGCTACACGTTGCAAGCTAATGCAAGCAACGGTAAGTTGTCATTTTGACATCAACCAATGTAACAACGATCATAAATCAGAACCAAGTTTGTTTTTACTACGTAGCATATTGATATTAAGCTTTCGTGACTGCAGGAATCTATACTCTTTGGTTCTTTCGCTAAAGTCACGTAGAAATATAATAATGGATCACGACGTTTCAATCGCCACACATGCGATCGCTATCCCACCTCAGGACGATCGCTTGCGCGGCGATCGAAACGTCGTAATCTATTATTATTAGTTTTCTACGTGACTTTACCGAATGAACAAAAGAGTATGCAGCACATTCTCTATCTCTAGCTAACTGCTATCGTGGGCCAACCACAGCTGAAAAGACACCCCGGTGAATAGGAAGATGCTGACTACCTCGCCTGATGTGCGGGAGGTTCGTGGGTTCGATCCGGGACCCTGACGATGCCCGCTGTATATTTGGAGTTTCCGTGTCTCTCCTCCGTTGTTTCCCTCCCCCTTTAGAGTCAACATGCAGCGCATTTTCTTTCTTGGGTCTTTCGGTAAAGTCGCGTAGATGGGTTCAAAGGAAATAACAAGAGTGCCATCTACGGATCTCTTCCGCAAGGAAGGACGCCGGCTGGATGTCTGGATGGCGTCTGTCTCAAATTTCTCCGTGGAAATGTTCATTACCACTGGTGATAGGGGAGAGCCCATTGGGGGTACCTTCATTCTGTTTGTAGAAAGTAACATTCCAGGTGAAGAAAGTGTTGGTATAAGGCAGTGCCTTACCAATGTTTATCCTACTGTTAAAAAGTTACCGTATCGACTGCACCGTACTTACCACTCCAAAATCTCGAAGACTCCCGCATCTGCGGGCCCATGTTACGTAGCGCCGCTCACACTTTTTATGTTTCAGCAACACGGCCGCGTTTGCCGATCACCGGACTGGTACACGCACCCACCTTGGACATAATGACGTTGGAAGCGGGCGGACAATTTTTCGCAGTGCCGGGTGAGATGTAGCGTGCGACATGGATCTCCAATCTCCCTCTTTCACCCCCCTCCCCCTTCCCCTCCACGTGCGTCCAGTCGGAGTCCCGACAACGAGGTGCGTGCCCGGGTTAGGATTGCCAAGCCCCAGCGGCTTTTACCTCAAGGGCGCTTGGCAGTCGACGGTGTGCGGCGCGAGGCGCTTCGACACGCCGGCGAACGTCACCGACTGCTTGAGGCACAAGGAGGTGTACCTGTTTGGCGATTCCACCATCAGGCAGTATTGGGAGTACCTCAACAAGTTCGTCAAAGGTAAGGGGCCGCTGATGGCGATCGTCGTCGTGTGTCGTCGTTCGCAACAAAGGCGGTGGTTTGTTTGTGTTTGTTTTGTCGGGGTTGGATCGCGTGAATCTGAATGTGTCGTTTAACCCGCCACCACCCGCCACAGCCCAATCAGCAAGAGGTTTGTCACGTAAACAAAACGTGGCCAGTTCGTTACCAGTTCAGCAACAGACCGGTTGTGTGTTGGAGATTAAACCCACTACACACATTTAAAGTTTGTGTTTTACGCGATCTAACCCAAAAAAACCTCTATCATGGATGAAGCCTACTGCACGGTAAACTCACAGCGGGAATCGAACTCGGGTCGCTAGGTCCGTAGCGCAGCGCAGCGCTAACCACTACACTATCGCAATGTATCGTTCATATACTAATATGTTTAACCCTTCCTTCCTTTTTTAATTTTACAACATAATACAGAAATTTTGATTTAAAGCTTTCGTGACTGCAGGGATTCATATTTTTGGTTCTTTCATGTACATATGTAGTGGAGTAGGAAGGTGTGCTGGGGAATCTGCGCGATTGTATTGATCACACGGACAGTGTGGGGTTATTTGGGGGCTAGCCTATGGAAGGCGTAAACAGCGTGGGTCGCTTTAGGACAGGCACGTGCAGAAGCTGCAAGGTGACGTCATTGGTTGGGCCAATCAAGGTAGACGGGAAGCAACGGCGGTGATTGGCTGGTACTGTTGCCGGGGCTGGAGAGGGGCCGGGATGGCTGAGAGGAGGCAGGTGGTGGATGACGCGTTGTGTGCGGAGGCACGCGGACCAATTGATTAGCGATAATGAGAAGGGGGATACATTGGGAGGAGAGACAGAGAGTTGGGGAGTCGGAGCTGAAGAGAACGGTGAGTGGAAGCTGAGGAGAGTTGGGGTCCGGAGTTAGAAGCCAGGACGGTGTGTAGAGTTAGCAGAGCTCAAGCAGACGAACCAGTTGGCAGTGGAGTGAGTGTAGAGTTAGCAGAGCTGAAGAAGACGAACCAGTTGGCAGTGGAGTGAGTGTAGAGTTAGCGGAGCTGAGGAAGACGGAACAGTTAGCAGTGGAGTGAGTGTAGAGTTAGCTGAGCTGAAGAAAACGAAGCAGTTAGCAGTGGAGTGTGTGTAGAGTTAGCTGATGAAGACGAAGCAGTTAGCAGTGGAGTGAGCAAAGTGATAGCGAAGCTGAGCAAGACGGAGCCGTTAGCAGTGGAGAGAGCGTAGTCATAGAGGAGCTGGAGACGAGGTGTGTGGAGACAGAGAAGTGAGATTGGGTTTCGCTGTGTGCGACGACGCTGTATAGCGGAGGAACTGAGGAGGATAGCCAGCAGTGGAGAGAGCGTAGGCATAGAGTTGAAGACGTGTGTGCGGAGCAAAGCGACGTGATGCTGGGAACCTAGGTGGTGAGCGAGACGGGCGAAAACGGCGAGTGAGCCGTGGTGTCCAGGATACGGTGAAGTGTGGAGGACGTGTGAAACGATGAAAATAAAGAAGTCGTTGAAGAAAGACAAGAGTTGTTTGTGTGAAGTTCAACCACTACACATATATAAATGTGTCGTTAAAGACGCCACCGCCCAACACAGACAATTAGTAAGGGTTGTCATGTAAACAGAGCATCCCACAGGTTAATCCCCATTGACGAATGGTGACTTGTATAGGCATGCATTTAAACAATGCGTTATTTGCTGATTCGCTTCCACGAGGCAACTAAAAGCCTGTAGCTGTCCGAACGTTGACAATTATTCATTGTTACCTCTTTCGCTTTCGATACAACGGTCCGATTTCTCACCGCCGCTTCAGCATTGCACACTCGGGCACGCACGTACGAATGCGCGCAACCAAACGCGTGACGCAGAGGCGCATTCTCCGCGTCACGCACTCGTCTGTTCTCTCGCGCAGCTTTGAAACGCTTCGACCTCCACAAGCCCGGGACGCATCAACCGAAGTTGGCGATCGACAACGAGAACAACATCATCCTGGAGTGGTTCTGCCACGCCTACCCGCTCATCACGGCGTCGTACACCTACAAGGAAGACGTCCGGCACATCGCCCGTCGCATCGACGAAATGTCCGGCGGGAGCCACGTGGCGGTGGGCATCTGCCTGGGGGCTCACTTCACCGTCTTCCCGCTGGCGGTTTTCCGCACGCGAATGCGCAACATTGGCGAGGCCGTGAGGAGGCTGCTGCTGAGAAGCCCCGAGACGAGGGTCGTCGTCAAGTTGGCCAACACGCGAGACTCAGGCAACCCCGAGATATTCAACAACTGGAGCACGTTCAGGATGAACGAGATCACCCTGGAGGTGTTCAGGGGCGCGAACGTGGCATTCGTGGACGCGTGGGACATGACCGCGTCGATTAACTCCGCTATAATTCACCCCGTCGAGGGGATAGTGAAGAACCAGGTCGACCTGTTTCTGTCATACATTTGTTAGATTTCAGCAGCGTTCGGTCGAAGAATCGCCGGGGGAAATCGTTTTTTTTCGTGGTGGTTTCAAAGTTGGGGTTTTTTTTTGGAAATGGGGGAGAGAAAAACTGGTCACTCTTGTATATGTGCAAAATCATTATGGCATTTTAAATGGCTGCATTAATTTTTTTCCACGGGATAGATCAGGGAAGGGTGAGTACTCTTATTGTGAAAGGGGCGGTGATATAGGGGCCAGAGGGGAGCGGCTGTAGGGAATAGATCAGAGAGGAGGCTGGTATGCAGATTTTAAAAGGGCGGTTGCTAAGGGTAAGAATTTTCAGGAAGTGGTGCGTTGAAGTTCCCGTCTGTGCGAATCCGCGTGGCTGTTCCACTCTTTATCTATTAAAAAAAAACATGAATACCACCACCGCGCGACTACGTCCAGTTTGACACGAAACAAATCACGCACGGAGCGTACACGCTGACGAGTGGGAAGAAGGGCGGGAATCCCCCGCAGGTGTCACCGGACTGCCCCAAAGTGTCCCCTTCCGGGCACGGTGCAAACTCATCGTGCCCTCATCCCTTTCTGGCTGTGCCCCCAGATGTTGCGAAATCCTTAACGATCCAAGGATCATGTGGCCAACCTCCCCCCCCCCCCCTCTTCATGGAAGCTGTGGCACATCACACTCCTAGCGCAATTGGCGAGCATGGAGCATTAGAGACGTAATCTTTCGGGAAAAGGAGTTTGGGGGAGTTCGAGACCAGGTGGGCCACTTTTGTACAGAGTTTTAAATTGGCCGGTCGGAATAACGGGACCCTGGAAAAAGAGGGTTGGATAGCCCCCTGGGTGTTTGAGTGGGAGCGAAACTCGGAATGTGTGTAGGGTATGTTGAACTTCTTTCGCACCGCATGCAGCGAACCATGGCAGCGTTGAGTCTATGGGCAGTGTTGAATCTATATGGGCAGTGTTAGTCTATGGGCATTGTTGAATCTATGTGGGTAGTGTTAGTCTATGGGCAGTGTTGAATCTATATGGGTAGTATTAGTCTATGGGCAGTGTTGAATCTATATGGCCAGTGTTAGTCTATGGGCAGTGTTGAATCTATATGGGTAGTGTTAGTCTATGGGCATTGTTGAATCTATATGTGTAGTGTTAGTCTATGGGCAGTGTTGAGTCTATGGGCATTCCCTTTGTTTCTATTCGGTAAAGTCACGTAAAAAACAACAACAAATAAAAAAAATTCACGACGTTTCGGCCACAACACAAGTGGCCTTCATCAGGTGAAGGGAGCAGACTGTCTAGAGGACAGCGCTGGAGTGAACACAGCCAAGCTAAGACCACGACCTTTCAGCTGTGTGAGAGGAAGCAGAGCGCCTTGACAAAGGAATTAGCAAAATCTTCATTAATCAGAGTAGCACCCCGATTTCGGACAATCTGAAAGCAGTACTGGCTAGGGGGCTGAATTTTGCTGTCACCCCAAAACACATACCAGTAGATGATATCATCTCTCAGGTCGATGGAGTCCTCAAAGGCGTAGGACACATCCAAGCAGACGTTGCGAGAGCTGAAATAGCCACTATTCTTATGAACGCTAAGAAACCCATTCGTAACATCAGCAAAAATGAACGCTCTGAACTCGCGAATTTAAAAAACAGAAGTGAAATAGTCATCCTCTCAGCCGATAAAGGCAACGCTACTGCAATTTTGTATAAAGATTCATACAACAACAAAATCCAGAATCTGCTCAACGATGAAAGCTACTCCAAAATCAAAAATGACCCTACTAATAGCCTAACGATAATAACCAACTAGATCATCACCAGTTCGACCCTCCTAATCGACCCAATTAAACGTCATTCCCCAAGATTCATAAAGAAGGCACCCCATTACGACCCATCGTATCCACGATCAACTCCCCTGCCTATAGACTAGCCCGTTTTCTGTCAGATACCTTGCTGCCTTTCACTGGAAAGACCGCCTCAGCAGTACTTAACTCAGCCCAATTGGTCTCTATGGTCAAAGACGTTGTACTGTCCCCTGACGATATCCTTGTCAGCTTCGATGTGGTCTCTTTGGTCACCAAGGTCCCAGTACCTGATACCATTGAAATAATTGAAATTTGGTCCAACATGGACTAGACCCCGATACACCTGCACTGGTTAGGCACTGCCTCAACAATATCTACTTTACTTGGAATGGCTCCTTCGACAAACAAAATGAGAGTACCCCCATGGGATCCCCCTTATCACCAATGATAGCCAATATTTTCATGGAGAAATTTGAATCAGACGCCATCCAGACTTCCACCCTCAGACCTTCCCTGTGGAAGAGATATGTAGATGACACTTTCGTCATTTGGCCACATGGCCTCCCGGCTTTGAACCTTTTCCTAGACCACATTAATCCCAGACACCCCGCCATCAAATTCACCATAGAAGTGGAGAAAGATGGCAAGCTACCATTCTTGGATGCTCTGTTTGAGAGGAGACCTGATGGCTCATTGGGACATTCTGTCTACAGGAAACCCACCCACACAGATTCCTACTTGAAACCTAATTCCCACCACCACCTGACGCAAAAGAATTCTCGCATCAAAACGTTATACCACAGGGCTCATTGCATTTCGGACCAACACCACCTGACCAGTGAATTAAAACATGTACATCTGGCCCTAAAAAGGAATGGATACTCTGACCATACCATCCGCCAAGCTGTTTCTCCCTCCATACAGAAACAACCACTTGATACTCCGATCAAAACCATCACACTACCATATATAGCAGGCGTTACTAAATAGATCTCCAAAATTCTAAACAAACACAAGATCCTGGTCCCGTTCAATACAGTACACAAAATCCGTGACCTGATCCCTTCCGTGAAGGATGTCATTCCTGACTTACAGTACCCCGGAGTCTACAAATTGATCTGCACCTGTTGTGACTGCTATATCGGGAAGACGAAACGACATGTCTCTGACCGAATTCTTGAGCACAAATCAGATTTGAAACACGGCAGAACGAATTCTTCTGCCGTAGCTGATCACTGTTACAACACTGTGGGTGATCACGATATAATTTTCTCCGATACCAAGGTTCTTTGCAAACACACGGGTTTTTATCGGAGATTTGTTCACGAGGCAATTCAGATTTACAAACACAGACACAATTTCAACCGAGAGGATGGTTTCAAATTAAGCAACCATTGGAAAGATGTTCTGAATCAAACCAAACATTAAACCCATTTTCAATGGTACAGTATATTTTTTTCGCAGCTGCTTAAGTTCCCTTTTCACACCATCAATATGTAAACTCCCCCCTCCCCCCCTCGCCGGTCTGCACTTGCTCCCCCCCCCCTGTACATCGTTCATCATGCTAAATACGCCAATTAAATGCTAATTTTTATGCTAATTCCTTTGTCAAGGCGCTCTGCTTCCTCTCACACAGCTTAAAGGTCGTGGTCTGAGCTTGGCTGTGTTCACTCCAGCGCTGTCCTCTAGACAGTCTTCTGCCTTCACCTGATGAAGGCCACTTTTGTTGTGGCCGAAACGTCGTGAATTATTATTTTTTGTTTTTTTACATTTTTTTACGTGACTTTACCGAATACACCCAAAGAGTATGGATCCTTGCAGTCACGAAAGCTTTAAATCTAGAATTGATAACCTCTACGGGGAGTGCTTTCACCTATCTGTTAGAGCTTTGAACAGACAACGGGACAAGAAGTCACAGCTCATCGAGACGCTGACCTTCCTCAAAAGATACCGCGATCACAAGGTAATACCCATCGCTTTCACACTCACTTCTGCTGCTGTATCTTCTCCGAATTCTAAACAGATTCTGCTTAAGGCCAGCCTATCTTTAATCTCAGAGAGGATAAGGCTACTCCGATTTGAACTCGATACTTTAGACAGAACTCTCCTACAAGCTCATTTAATGTTAACACAAAAAATGTTACCTTCTGATTGGAATCACGTAGACAGCATGACTGCTTCTTCTGCTGGTTCACTGTTAGTCAAATGTAAAGCTAACCTGATTTCTAAATTCAACCACCTATCAAAGAAGAACCCAGTTCCACATATAACAAAACTAGACGTCAGCAAAATCGTCATTAATCAGAGTACCGAATAGAACCAAAGAGTATGGATCCTTGCAGTCACGAAAGCTTTAAATCTAGAATCTATGGGCATTGTTGAATCTATATGTGTAGTATTAGTCTATTGGCAGTGTTTAATCTATATGGGGAGTGTAGTCTATGGGCAGTGTTAGTCTATGTGCAATGTTGAATCTATATGGGGAGTGTTAGTCTATGGGCAGTGTTGAATCTATATGGGGAGTGTTAGTCTATGGGCAGTGTTGAATCTATATGGGTAGTGTAGTCTATGTGCAGTGTTAGTCTATGGTCAGTGTTGAATCTATATGGGAATTGTAGGTCTATGGTCAGTGTTGAATCTATATGGGCAGTGTTAGTCTATGGGCAGTGTTGAATCTATATGGGCAGTTTTTGTCTATGGGCAGTGTTGAATCTATATGGTCAGTGTTGAATCTATATGGGCAGTTTTTTGTCTATGGGCAGTGTTGAATCTATATGGTCAGTGTTGAATCTATATGGGTAGTTTTTGTCTATGGGCAGTGTTGAATCTATATGGGTAGTTTTGTCTATGGGCAGTATGTGTGTGTGTGTAAGGTGAACTTCTTTCGCACCGTACGTAGCCAACCGTGGCTAATCGGAGGTTTACAGATTCATCAACATCAGCAACTGCAGCACACGTTGCACTGCCGGGGTGACGACTTCTCCAAGCCATCACCGCTTCTCACGGTACAGTCTCTCGCTCTGCCAGACTTGACTTGAAGTCACTTCTGTCACTCAGGCACCTCAAATCGCTCCTTTTCAAAGTGAATTCCGGCCAAGCTTCCACTGCGTAAACAATGGGAGGCCTTTACACACCGCGTTTCGTGATGTGTGAACGCGGAATTCTTTTACCCGGTGCAATTTCGTGATCATTGTAATTCTCGCCGCGACTTGAAATTTGATGTTTCTCAGGGAAACTATTTTACCGGTTTAACACGCGAGGCTTTCGCAACCAAAACTATTTTAACTGTTGCGTTTTCAACCCCGCAGGTGTCACCGGACTGCCCCAAAGTGTCCCCTTCCGGGCACGGTGCAAACTCATCGTGCCCTCATCCCTTTCTGGCTGTGCCCCCAGATGTTGCGAAATCCTTAACGATCCAAGGATCATGAGGCCAACCTCCCCCCCCCCACCCCCCCCCCCCCCTCTTCATGGAAGCTGTGGCACATCACACTCCTAGCGCAATTGGCGAGCATGGAGCATTAGAGACGTAATCTTTCGGGAAAAGGAGTTTGGGGGAGTTCGAGACCAGGTGGGCCACTTTTGTACAGAGTTTTAAATTGGCCGGTCGGAATAACGGGAC